CCCCCCCCCAATCATTTCATATTTCAATGTTTTCAAGATGTCATATTTAAAACATTAATCTCATAATATTATTTATGAATTTATAATTGATTTAAATGCATTCATGCCACCCATTTTTATTTAGAGGTGGTTAACAAAAACAAGACATCAAAGTTAAAAGGCTCCTTACCTTAAGCATTCCAAAGTATTTAGATTAAGTTACTAAACTTGAGTAACCTAACAAAATATGTTAGAAACTATATAAAATATTTTAAGGATGTATTTTGTAATCTGTAATGAAATACATTTTAAAAGTAACCTTCCCAACCCTGCTCAAAAAACACAAATTAATGCTTTATTCTGCATGTGCACATTTTAGATTCCTTAACCCTACTCCATACCTAAACTTATCAACGTCCTTACTATTAAGAAGCAGCAAACTAAGAGTGTGCTGAGGGAAAACACTTAGCCAATAGCGAATGTGATCCCTAATCTAATGTATGTCTTTTGATATCAACAGCATGTCACAAGTGCATTTACTAATCCAAGTCTGAACTTTAAGCAAAAGGCTGAATATTATTATTCATCTACATGTAAATAAATGAATGAATTAATAAACAAACTTACAGCAGTTCATTTCATCACTGGCATCCTCACAGTCCAGCACCTGGTTACAGCGACTGGAGTTTGACACACATGATCCGTCTCTGCACTGAAACTGATCCGCTGTGCACAGGGTTGCTGGAACACAAACAAAAAGTGCATAAACTCACAAAGTCATGAGCTAAAGAAATAAATAAATAACAGTAATACTAATAATAATGAAGGAAACATATTTTTAGGACCATAACAATACTATTTGCACAATGACAATATTTCCATGATAATTTAGCACACTGAACCCCCCCTCTCTTTTCTTTTCTTTTCTTTTATTGGGTTTTGTTTTTTTGATAATTCCCATTCTTCTCAATAGTGATTTCATTCTCTTCTCCAAATAATTACTGAAATACAATATTTTTTGTTTTGAATTTAAATTCATTCATTCATTCAGCACAATG